ATGTTCCTTTAGTGTGTAAATTGAAGAAATCACTTTATGGGCTAAAACAAGCTTCTAGGCAATGGTTTGCAAAGCTTTCAGAATCTCTCATTTCAAGAGGCTACTCTCCTAATAAGAATGACTCCTCTCTTTTTACCAAAGTGACTACAACTTCCATTGTCCTTCTTGCTATTTATGTGGATGATCTTCTTTTGGCTGGAAATGATGATGCTGAAATGTTAAGCCTGAAATCGTTCCTTGATCATCAATTCAAGATCAAAGACCTTGGGAGTGTCCATTATTTTTTGGGTCTTGAGATTTCTAAGGTGGATCAGGGGTTTCTTATCAACCAACAGAAGTACACAAAGGAGCTCCTCTCTGAATTCCATTGTTCAGAGGTCAGACCTGCTCTCACACCCCTTGATCCTCATGTCAAATTATCTGTTGACTCAGGGGAAGCTCTTCCTGATCCTACTGTCTATAGAAGATTAATTGGCAAGCTGAATTTCCTCCAACATTCCAGGCCTGACATCTCTTATTCCGTGCAACATCTCAGTCAATTTCTTGTGTCTCCTAGAGTTCCTCACATGCTGGCTGGTTTGCATGTTCTCAAATACCTCCTCAATGATCCTACCCAAGGCATTCTGCTGAGTGCTGCCCTTGATTTCTCCTTGAAGGCTTATGCAGATTCTGACTGGGCTGCTTGCCCCATTTCCAGAAAGTTTGTGACTGGGTATTATGTGGTTCTTGGTGATTCCCCTATTTCCTGGAAATCTGAGAAACATCCTATTGTCTCTCTTTCTTCCGTTGAAGCAGAATATAGAGCTTTAAGGAAGGTTGTTGCTGAGGTGGTTTGGCTAACAAGGTTGTTAGCTGACATGGGGCTGTCTATTACTACTCATGTCCCTATTTTTTGTGATAGTCAGGCTGCCCTTCACATTGCTAGAAATCCTGTTTTTCATGAACGCACCAAACACATTGAGGTGGATTGTCACTATGTGAGGGATGTGCTTTCTTCTGGCCTTATTGTTCTTAAACACGTATCTTCTGCAGATCAACTTGCCGATGTTCTGACCAAGGCTTTGACAGGTGTTCCCCATCATAAGCTCTTGTGTAAGCTGGGTGTGCACTCACCCTCCAGCTTGAGGGGGGATGATAGAGTAAGGAAATTATTAGACTTAAACCCAGGATGGTTTTTCATTTCTGTTCTATTGGACCTTTTGTATAGTTGGGCCTCTTTTCTTTCTCTTATACTGCGAACCGGCCCATGTCCGGATATTATTAATTATTTGGACTAAAGTGTACATACTAATAGACTGATTAAAGTCTATTGGGAATAATCGATCATTTTCGTCTCTTTCTATTTACCTAATGGTTTTTTAGTTTCTCTCTAAACACCGACTAGAACCTAGGGTTTTCTCTAGAAATTTAATCTCTCCTTACAAGTTAACAGAGAAAGAACACCATTTTTATAAATGATAATTACGTGGGCCTCTCTATTGACTTCTCCAAATCAAAGCTGTGACTAAATTCTATCATGGCAAACTTTTAAAAAAAAAGTGTTAATGAAAATAAAAGTGTTTTCATGTGACTCGCCTCAGAAGAAAGGGCAAGATCATGAATGAAATAAAAGCATTAGGTGACAGTGCTCTTAGCCTTATTTAAAATTGCCATAAAAGGGGCTAAGAAAAGTTTGGCATGTACCTATTGTTTTTTTAAAAAAAAACGAAAAAAAGAGGAGAGGTTTGAAACAAAGTTTGTGATAAATGTCCAAGAATATCTTCACTTTGGGTGTTTCTTGCAAAAAAAAAAAAAAAAAAAACGAAGAAGTAGAACTAACAAAACGTAAATGAATGTAACTTGCTGAAAATAGACATAAAGACAAGAAAGAA